TAAGTGTATTATTTTGCATTCTTTTATGGAGTCCACAAGCACTGAAGACCCCCCCCCCATTACTAACTCGACTATTAACACCAACATTCACATAGATCAATTTGTAATTGGCATCTGCTAAAGCTAGTGAGACCATACTGTCTGTGCCTTTGTAATTGTGGTAATATGATCCAGCAGATGTAAATGGGCTAAAAGCTATGTGACGGCCATCTAATGCTCCAAGACAATTTGGAAAATTCCACTTGCTTTGGAAATCTGCAGCAACTTTCAACCACTCATCTGTAGTTGGATTCTACGATTTAAATAACTGTTAAATGATCTAGTTATAGAAATCATAGTGAATTGAAATACCTTCAAATAAACATCTCTCAAACATCTACATAATGCTAAGCAAGTTTCTGGAACAATTTTAGAAATTGTGCTATCATGAATTCTTGTGCTGTAGATGAGAATTCTATATGTTTCACCAGTAGCCAAGAAATGCAATGTGACATCAAGCCTAAGAACGATAAGTCCCATTAGCAATATATACATAGGTCAAAAGTCCAAATTTATATGATGCCAAATCAAAACTATACATGCTTTATGAATGTGTTGTATACGTATAATAAACAAAAACAAATAATTATTGCTATCTTAATACCTGTGTTGGCACTTATGTTTTCTCTCATGAAAGTGTCTTCTTTTTTTACATGAGGTTCGACCAATGCTAACAGGTAATCAAATTGAGTATCATCAAGGCGAAGAAAGTTTCTGAAAGCATTCGTATCCTCTACTCGTAGCTCCCTGTTTAAAAGAGCTCTGCCCTTTTTTCTCTGCAGCCACTTTTTTGTCCACTGAGATCTTTTTCTCTACCGACTTTTTTTTGTTAACTGGTATATTAAGAAACAACAAGTCACTGCAGCAGTTAAGAGTAAATCAGATTTTCTCAAATTCATTTTTTATAATATGAACCAAGAGCTCTCTTCCATGATGCCGTCGCGCGATGTGCCTGCCAGACAGACCCGCCTAACTTTGGCGTCCCATCCTAACCGTGTCGAACTTCGTACATCCAGAACCGACCGATACGACCGCTCCTTTGTCCCGAGGGTCTCGGGATTGTGAAACAATCTACAAGAGGAAGCTTTTCCCAGTTCTATTAACCTTAGGCAGTTCAAAAATCGTATTAATAAAATTTCTTTGGGATCATCATAGCAGCCACGGTGTTCCGGCATTTAGGCTTCTGCCTGCGCGGCTGCTTTGATATAAAAAAAATCTCGATTTCAAAAATAAATTTTAATCAACTGTTGTCCTTCCGATTATATTGGACGTCATACCCGTTAAGGTTATATCCATTCGAGTTATTCGAAAATATTACTCTAATGCGCAGGCGTATCATATGAATTACTCGGAAATTTTGTTTGCATTTTGTCATACAGGTTGTAGAGAAAATCTTCAATATCTTTTCCATGCAAATTTTCGGCATAATTATGACCATAATTTTCGGAGTAATTCTCTTGTGTGTAAAACGGCTCTAATTACTGTATGTTACGAAAAATTTAGAAATTGAGATATTGGCAGTTGCCCCTGGTGTATATGGTCCTCGGTATAGATCACAGATCTAAACGATCTATTGGACACTATGTCAATATTTTTATTGGATGTTTTCATAGATGTTACATATCTTACATTCTGTCTGAAGTGTAATTTTTGGCCCCTTTAGTAACCCAGTATGTACTGATTGAGTTTTGAGAAAACTTCAAGATACGATCATGCCAAAGTCAAAAAAGCTCTGTAGGCTTTGAAAATCAGTCTAGAAGCGGCATAGTTATGAGCGGAAAACAAAAAGACAGGAAGTTCTTAAATTCCATGTTGAGTTCAGTTCATGGCGTGGTCAAAATTTGTCTTAGCAAGCTCAAAAAGTTTGAAATCAGGCATGTTTCATATTTGACTAATCACTGTTAGTGCTCTGAATGACCGTGGCGTTAGAACATTAAATCGATTTATTGAATGCGAGGGAAGCACTAGGTCAATCTACTTGACTCTGTTTTCTTGATCTTATGATTTGTACATGCCATTTTACTGTCTAATAATAATCATTGACCTCTCTTTGTCTCAGAAAGTACTGCTTTCGGTAAAATTTTGCTGATGACAGCACTCTACTTTTACTTTTCCAGATCTGCTAACCTTAGGCATTTCAAAAGTCAGATTAACAAAATGACTTTGGGATCCTCATAGCAGCCGCGGTGTCCTGGCATTTAAGCTTCTGCCTGCGCGGCTACTTCGAGGTTAAAAAATAATAGTTACAACTACAGCGCGAACAAAAAGTAAATATAACTGTTTTTGAGAATCGGTCCAGCTCCAGAATAATTGAAGACATAAGATGATAAAGGTGTCATGTCACATTTCTTACTAGTCACCTTTTTCGATTTTTGGCCCCCACACATAGCTATGTAACATGTTAGAAGTGGTATATGTATAATGATAATCCTTTGTAAAAAGATAATTTCAGTTGATAAAGGTGGCATTTCAAGTGAATTTGCGATTATTTCAGTTGATAAATGAGCTAACATATTATATTCTAATATGTGACATAAAACCAGTATCAACTAAATAAGTATCGACAGATAAGTTAGTTGCTGATGACATACCACCTTTGAGACTATGTTAATAACAATAGATGGTTTTACCTCTTCATCCTACAATCTCAACTCGGGTGTTCCCCAAGGATCGGTCTTGGCTCCAAAATTGTTCCTCTCACATATCAACGACCTCCTTTCCTGTGCAGGGATCCAAAGTGACAAGCCGACTTCCTTTCTGGCGAGGGACCTGGAGGTTATCACTGCTTGAGGACGCAACAATTTTGTACTGTTTTATGCTTCCAAAACACAGTACTGTATCTTGACTAACAAGAATCGTCCTAGCGCTCATCAGATTTCGATGGATGGCCGAATTCTACCAAACAGTCGTTTATTTTTGAGGACTTGATCTGGCATGAACACATCTCGTCAATAGCGGCAGCTGCTGGGAAAAAGCCAGGCTATTTGTTTAGGGCTAAGAAGTACTTTTCTCTACATAACCTGCTCACTCTGTACAAGGCGCAGATAAGACCTAGCTTCGAGTACTACATTATCCATTCTCGATGCTGTTCAGCAGAGGGCAGTCGATCAGTGGATCGATTACTCTTCTCTAACGGACAGTCACGGGACTTATTCGCATCAACGGGACGACGGCAAGCTAGCTCTCTTCTACGGCTACGCCAATGGTATTTGCTCCGGAGAGCTCTCCTCCATGATGCCGTCGCGCGATGTGCCTACCAGACAGACCCGCGTGACTTTGGCCTCCCATCCTGTGTCGAACTTCGTAAATCCAGAACTGGCCGATACGACCGCTCTTTTATCCCTAACAGCTAAATTTGTTACTCCTAGAGTATCGATATTGTGGAACAATCTACATGCATGAGTAGGCTATTCTCAGTTCTACTAACCTCAGCCAGTTAAAAAGTCAGTGTAAAAAAATACACGCCATCCCTTAAAGTTGATTTAAGAAAAAAAATGCAAAACACCGGGACCGCCCCGACAGTCAGCCAACAAGGATAACAGAAAGGTTTGGGGGTTTAATTATAGAACACTACCAAAACCTCAAAGATGAAATAAAGCTTGTAGATGAAGAATACGAATTGTAGTAGGAAAGTATAATACAGGAGAACTCACCACATCCAAATAAGAGAAGAATGACACTTTAAACACGTATCTTCTCTTATTGTACACTTTATTAATGTTAGCTGTTTTAAATAATGGTACTTGACACTTATTTCCACGTACCTATCTTGTTATTCTTCCACAGTTTAATTTTCAATGGCTAAAATAGTTATGTACATTTTTGCAGTTTTTCTAATAAACTAATAAGTGTTCAGTGTCTTTAATCTAATACAATAAAAATACCGTACTTCAACATATCACAACAACCATGACATAGACGAAAGGATATTGTAGCTTTCGTAAATATTCAGTACTTTCCAGAAACGTACCTCTGTACTTATTATTTGAATGGTCATGTTAGTAAGCTGATATTCAGGATTCTGAAATTGACGCATGAATACTATATTTTAACGTAAAATAACAGTTGAAAAATCCAAGATGGCAGCTGTGCGGCATCTTGTAACATTTTCTTGAGCGGAATGGAGGATCGATCATGTTGAAGCTCCTTATAAGTACTCTATGACCGTTGAATGTAAAATCGGCATTTTTCAAAATGGTGGACAGGTAGGCTGTCAAGGCTGAGCATTTTTGTACATTGAGTCGCTTATAACTCAATAACCAGTCATCAAAAATGAATAGTATGCTATATCAATTTTCGTCGTTTGGAAGGGTCTATCTGAATGTGTAAGTGTATGGGGCATTCGGTTTAAAAAAAATAACGGATTATGACATTTTTTTAATGAGATTTTCATAGTTCATTACATAATGTTACCAGTAATACCGCCAGTGACGGGCGTATTGTATACAACTATATATCTACCACATATAAAATACACCACTGTTGGTATACGCGTATAGAATTGTAATTATACATGTGTTGATATTCATGTAGACAATGAGCCGTATTCATAAAACAAAGGATATCCTTGTACTTGCAAATTTTGAAGGAAATCCTCTAGATGGTATTAATAATAATTTGAAGTAAATGCTTCTGATTTTTGAGCATAACTTATCCTTCAAAGCAGTGACATAAGTAAAAGGATATTCATAATCTTCACCTTATACTTGGCATGGGAAGCATATCCTTCAAAAATTCAGGTCAGTAGCAGACTAAACTTCGTAACGAAAAGTAGTCAAATGATGATGTCGGAAATTGTGGATGTTAGGGATGTTAAAACGTTCAAACCTCGTTTACCTTCACTTGGTCGTGACTTCAAAGAATTATATCGGTTCGACGAAGCAAATGTACAATGGCTTGCGGACAGATTTTTAGTTGAGAATGAGGAAACTCGAGGAGGAGCACTTTCATGTATTTATAAAATGAAGATATGTCTACGCTATCTCGGTGACCCTGGATATCAACAAGGTATTGGTCAGGAACTTGGTGTTAGTCAAGCAACGGTATCTCGGACTGTGGATAGAGTTGTGAACAGCATAGTTGCACAGTCGAACGGATGGATCAAGTTTCCAACTACCAACTATGAACTGATGGAGGCCAAGCGGATATGGCAAAGCATGTATAAATATTTCCGACAGCAATTGGTGTAATTGATTGTACACATACAGGAATCCTGAAACCAAATCGCCGTGGAGATGAGTATATCAACCTAAAAGGGAAACCTACTTTAAATGTGCAAGCTACTTTTGATGCCAGAGAGATGTTCACAAGTGTTGATGTCAGTTGGCCTGGATCAGTGCATGATTCCAGAATATGGAGAAATTCACAGACTAGATCACAACTAATAAATAAAGCAAATGTTGTACTACTTGCCGATGACGGTTATGGTATTGAGCCATGCCTTAGGATTCCCTTCAGAAATCCTACTCCAGGTGCAGAAATAAATTATAATAAGCTTTTAAAACAAGAAAGATTTATAATTGAATGCTGTTTCGGCCAACTGAAACGCCGGTTTCCTGTCCTAGTATGTGCGTAAAGTTGTAAAATTGCTTGTATTGTACTCCATAATGTTGCGAAGAGCTTGGGCGATCCTGACTGTGAGTTAGTTGAACAAGACCTAGATGAACATGAAGGAAATCATGAGAATGACGAACTTCCTCTCCGCCAATCAGGTCAACAAATAAGAAGAAACTTGAGTATTATAATAAATAGTTTTACTGATTAAAGTGTATTCATAAGGTATAATAAGTTTTATTTTCGTGAACATCATAAGTTACAGGTGGCTTCTGACGCTACATCATTTCTAATTTCGTTTTATAATACTCTTGTTGTAAAATACTTGTTTGGTACTGCTGTAATAGCACTAGCCGTTGCAGTTCTTTTGTAGTTAACCCTTTGGTTTCCTCAGTTTCGTATTTCCCTAATTGCTAATTTTCTTTTTGTTGGCAATGTCTTCTGAATTGCTGGCGCTGTAATACTAACTGTTTGCTCACTGCGCTCGGTATATAGTTCTTCTTGAACACTACCAACCTGAATGGCACCTCTAATGTTCCCAATTGTAGGATTACAGTCACCTTTTATAGGTTTCAGCAACTTTCTTTCCCAATCTAACAATTTAATTGCTTTGTTACCAGTTTTTTTAGATCTGTTTTTTTCTTCAATCTTGATTTCATGTTGTTGATTTTTTTTATAAGCCTTTAGTATCTAATGGTTTACCGAATGTTGATTCGTATTTTTTCAACATCTTCGAGGCATCGTCCTTTCTCATTTTTATTTTTGGAACTTGTGACTTTTGCAAAATAATGGGTGCAATGGCAATTTCATCTGCGATGAACTGCAGGTCCTTGCCATTATTTTCTATAGTTTCCTCATCACTTGAGAATGACATGCTTATTAATTTGATAAAAAACCGTATCCAGTAAAAATTCGGAACGGTATGTGTAAGCTCTGGAGTACAACTGTCAGTGATCCTGAGTGAACGAACTCCCACGTCAACTACAAGCTGGAACAAGTCAGGACATGTCGCTCAAGATACGAATACCAGTCAACCTTTTACTTCTTCTTGGAGGATACCCTCGCGAGTATAAGGTAATCATTATGAACATGAAAACAAGGATATGCTTATACTTCTACCTTTTTCCCCGAAGCAAGACCTTCATACTTTTACCTTATGCTTCCGATGATATGCTTCTCTTTTATGAATACAATGTATACAATAATAAATAATGGTACAATTATATCGCTTGCGTATATGCACAGCCCATAAATTTGAGTTTTGAATAATAGAAAAGGTATAAAAATATAGATATTCATAGTTTTCAGTTATACATACAAAGTAATAGCTTTAAATAAATTAGGAACATTTGTAAAATAAAATTTACATTTTGTAACAAAATCTACAGATGTGACTAATTTCATTCAGCATCATGAGCATCGCCAATATGCCAATATCTATATTGGCAAGACCGTTATCGGTCTATCCTGAGGATTAATACACACGGTTCTTAACTTCTTTTTATTACTATATCTTCTGATTTGATTCGTTCTCAGGCAGAAAAGCTCAACAGTATTGTCATGTTGGCTTTTCCTGTCCGAAATGTCAGACTCTCCATCAGAAATGTGGCATACTCACTGGAACCCGTCATCATAAACTCACTCCACTCTCGGAATGTCCGGGTGGAGGGTGGGTTCGAGGGAACAACATCGAAGATAAAATTTGGTTTACGAATATCTGCGGGATTAACAGCAACATTGATGCTGTTCATCACTACCTGCAATCAAATCGGTCCGCCATGGTTTTCTTCGCGTAGACAAAAATTTCAGAGTCAGTACCGATTAACCATCTTAGCTTCCCAAATTCCGAGGAGCACTTCAATCTGAGAAATAACGGGGGAGTTGTGGCTTTTGTCCGCAGCAGCCTTACCTGCTACAGAATGTTTCTTAGGAATCAGACCGGAATTACATTCTGTGGCTTTGCCTTAACTCCAACACATCACCTGTCTGTTCTTCGATAACCGAAATTATCCATGTCGGAATGGACGAATACATCCCTCACACAGTGAAAGTGCCTAAACCAGGGTCCAACGGCTGGTTTAACAAATCATGTGACACTGATCACCAGCAGAAGATCAAGGCACACAGAACCTTCTTACAAACCCAAACTGTAGCGAAAAGACAAGCCGACGTCGAGTCCAGAAACAAATATATCGAAGCGGTTCGCAATGCCAAAAACCAGCACGATATAAAAGTTAGGCACAGGGTAATGCCAAGCAGATTGAAAAAACTTCTCACACAGTAGCCTTCCACCACTTACGTGTCAGGATGGAATGATTGTATACGACTCAAAGGCCAAGGCGGAAGTGCTTGGAAAGATATTTGCTGCACACTCCACCATGGACGTTCCTCCCAACGTCCAGGTGCCGTCGATTCAAAGGGTTCCCTACACTATGCGGGAGGTAACATTCAAGCACAAGACCGTAAAATGAGTGCTCTTATCACTCGACATCAACAAAGCTTCTGGTCCGGACTTCATTCCTGCCATTGTACTGAAGAGGTGTGCAGCGTTCTTGCTCCAGTTCTTTCGTGCCTCTTCCAGATATCTTATGAATCCGGCACCTTCCCAGAAAACTGGAAATTTGCTCATATCCAAACCATCCCAAAAAAAGGATCTAAGACCGACTCTTACAATTACAGGCCTATAGCTCTGCCTTCTGTTATAAGTAAGCTGATGGAGAGGTGCATAAATCGCGAGCTTCTGGACTACCTCGAACGTCACAGCTTGATTAGCGACGGGCAATATGGTTACGTCACGCAATTGTGGAGTAAACTCATCCAGTCTTTTGGTGAGGCTCATGTCGTTGCTCTGGACATTACGAAAGCATTCGATCATCTGTGGCACGCTGCCCTCTTAAGCAAACTTCCATCCTATGATGGCCTTCCAGGCAAAAGCTTTGCAGATGGATGGCTGACTTTATCTCTGGCCCCAATATATCCGTCGTAATTGACGGGTTCTCCTCTTCATCCCACAATGTCAACGCGGGTGTTCCCCAAGGATCGGTCTTTGCTTCGACACTGTTCCTCTTACATATCAACGATCTCCTTTCCTATACGATTAACCGAATCCACAGCTTCGCTGATGACAGCGCTCTACATTTAGGAATTCAGAGTGACAAGCCGCTGAGCTGGAAAAAAGAAGACTAGCGACGACTTCCCCTCTAACGAGAGACCTGGAGGTTTTCACTGCTTGGGAACGCAACAATCTTGTACAGTTTAAAGCTTCCAAAACACAGTACTGTACTTTGACGAACAAAAAACGTCCTAGAGCTCATCCAGTTTCGATGGACGGCCGAGTTCTACCAAAAAGCCGTTCATTTCGGTTGGTCGGAGTTCAGATAACCAAGGACCTGATCTGGCACGAACACATCTCGTCAATAGCTGCAGCTGCTGTGAGAAAACTAGGCTATTTGTTAAGGCCTAGCCTCGAGTATTTATCACACGTTTGGGGTACTGCCGCCCCGACTACATTATTTATGCTAGATGCTGTCCAGAGGAGGGCGGTTCGACTGATCGATGACTCTTCCTAGCAGACAGTCTCGGGACCCTTTCCCACCGGTGGGCCGTCGGCGATCTAGCCCTTTTCTATCGCTACACCAACGGGCTTTGCTCCTCAGAGCTCTCTTCCATGATGCCGCCGCGCGACGTGCATGCCAGACAGACCCGCCTGACTTTGGCGTCCTATCCTAACCGCGTCGAACTTCGTACATCCAGAACTGGCCGATACGACCGCTCCTTAGTCCCGAGGTGTCAAGATTGTGGAACAATCTACAAGAGGAAGCTTTTCTCGGTTCTACTAACCTTAGGCAGTTCAAAAATCGTAATAATAAAATTTCTTTGGGATCATCATAGCAGCCGCGGTATCCCGGCATTTAGGCTTCGGCCTGCGAGGCTGCTTCGATATATATATAAAAAAATCAGTCATTCGCTGCACATCGCACCGCGGTAATGCTTGAAGCATTTCGTTGCGGTAGGTAGGGATGCGCTTAGTTTTCATACCAAAGCTATTTACTAATCTTATTCTCAGCGTTATACAGATAGGCTCACTCGTGCCTATGTATATGCACAACATAGCAAGTAGAAACCTATTGCTGGTTTCGGATAGCCATTTTACGATAGGACAAAAGTTGTCTTACGTGCGATTTAAGGCGCCATGTAGCTGAATTCGACAACTTTTTACAGACGTAAAATGAACCCTAGTTCACCAAATTCCTTATTTTTAGCGCGCCCAACCATAGTTTATAGTTGTGGGTTCAAAGATGTCTTCACGTTTTCGAGTAAACCTAACCTCACTTATGCTCTTCTTTACATTGTATACGTACTTTTTACGTTGTATGCGCATTGTATACATTGTCTACGCATTGTCTACAATCAAACGTAGACAATTAAATGTCCACTACTGATTACCGCTGGCCCATAATCTCGATACCCTACGGACAAAGAAGTTCAGCACTGTGTTTTGAAGGATTGAACTGGACAAGATTGTTGCGTCCCAAAGCAGTGATAACCTCCCAGGTCTCTTGTCAGATAGGCAGTCGCTGCTAGTCTCTTTACTCCAGCTCACTGGCAGGGATCAGCTTGTCACTCTAAATTCCCG